TCTGTTTGAGGGTGATAGGCAGTACTAAACTTAAGAGAAGTATTGAATCGCTGTCACAAAGTTCTCCAAAAGTAAGATAAGAACTTAGAATCTCGATCGGATGTAATGGACTTCGGCACTCCATGAAGGCGAACTATCTCCCGAAAGAAAAGATTGGCAATGTTGCTCGTATCTGCAGTCTTCTTGCACGGAATAAAATACGTCATCTTCGAAAACCTGTCAACCACAATAAAAACAGAATCCATGCCTCGTTGGGTTTGAGGCAGTCCCAACACAAAGTCCATAGAGATATCATGCCATGGGGCATCAGGAACAGGTAAATGTGTATACAATCCTGTATTCTGAGACTGTCCCTTAGCAACTTGACAAACTGGACAACGTCGCACATATTTTTCTGCTCCCTTCTTTAACTGAGGTCAGTAATATCGTTCTTCAATGACTGTAATTGTTTTATCACGTCCCAAGTATCCTCCTAGTCCGCCAGCATGAAGGTCTCGAATTATCTGCTCTCTTAGTGAACTCTAGGGTATGCACAATTGATCGCCATTAAATAGGTAACCATCCTGAATAAGAAAGCCTTTGACTGATTTATTTTCAAGGCAGTCATCCTAAATCTTCTTAAAATCTTCATCCTCTGCATACAGCTCCTTAAGGTACTCAAACCCAATCACTTCAGCCTTTAAAGTTACCAACAATCCAGTTCTCCTACTGAGTGCATCTGCAATCTTATTCTGCTGCCTGGATTTATGCTTCAAAACAAAGGTGAAACGCTGCGATATGCGATTCAATGAGCATGCATACAGTTGATGGTAGTCTGACTATTAAGGGTCTTCAAAGCCTGATGATCAGTGTGAAGCAAAAACTCTCTCGAGATCAAATAGTGCTCTCAATGCTTCAAAGACTGAACTATGACATATAACTCCAGCTCATATGTGGTCCACTTCTGCCGAGCTTCGCTGAGTTTCTCACTATAAAAAACAACTGGACGCCCTTTTCGAGATAAAACACCACCAATTCCTATGATGGACGCATCACAATCAACTTCAAAGACCTTTTGAAAATCTAGAAGTGCAAGTACTGGTACGGTGGATAATTTCTCTTTGATCAGTGCAAAGCTACGATCCGCATCGTCCCCCAATTGAATTTGCCTTTCTTCATGCACTCAGTGATAGGAGCTATAATACTGCTGAAGTTTCTGACAAATCTTCTGTAGAATGTTGCTAGGTCATGAAAACTATGAACTTCGCTTACCGTCTTCGGTGTAGGCCAATCTCGAATAGCACGGACCTTCTCTTCATCCACATGGATGCCTTCTGCGCTAACAACAAAGCCTAGGAATACAAGGCTACTGGTCATGAAGTTGCACTTCTTCAGATTGATGTACAACTTGTTCTCCTGCAAAACTATAAGTACCTCTCAAGTGGTTCAGATGTGCAGTCTCACTCTGGCTATAAATCAGGATATCATCGAAGTAAACTACAACGAACTTGCCGATAAAGGGTTTTAATACCTGATTCATCAAACGCATGAAAGTGCTTGGAGCATTAGAAAGGCCAAAAGGCATTACTAACCATTCATACAGACCTTCTTTTGTCTTGAATGCAGTCTTCCACTTATCTACTTCCCTAATCCGAATCTGATGATAACTACTCTTGAGATCTATCTTTGAGAACAATTTTAATCCAGATAACATGTCTAGCATGTCTTCCAGGCGTGGGATTGGAAATCGATACTTTACGGTGATTTTGTTGATAGTCATACTGTCCATACACATGCGCCACTCTTCGTTCTTCTTTGGGACTAATAGTGCTGGTACGACACATGGACTCATGCTAGGCCGTATAAGACCTTTCTGGACGAGATCATCCACCTGTTTCTGCAAAATCTCTCCTTTCTTCAGGTTCATCCGATAGTGTGGCAGATTTGATAGTCGAGATCTGGGGATGAAATCAATCTGATGTTGCATGTCTCGAAGCATTGGTAATTTAGAAGGCAGATCGTTAGGCATAACTGTTTCAAACTGCTGCAAGAGGGTTTGAACTCCAGGTGGAATTTCGGCTGTGGTAGAATCCTTCTTTCCCGACAAAACAAGAGCATAAACCTCATTGGACTGTTTCACTTCTTTCATAATATCTTCATTGTCAACGATCAAGAAAGTCTTCTTTTTAGCCACATTAGATTGACAGACCCCTTCTCAGTTAGAGGCTTGAGCACAATTCGTCGACCATCCTTCTTAAATATATAAACATTATCCTTTCCCCGATGTGTGACATCAACATCAAACTGCCATGGCCTGTCTAATAAGATATGACATGCGTCCATCTCAACTACATCACATAACGTCTCATCGATATAAGTTCGGCCAATGGAAAAGGATACTCGACACACTTCATCAACTTGTACGTCGCTATCCTTTCGAATCCAACCAATCTTGTAAGGGACGGGATGCTTCTCTGTCTTTAATCCTAACTTCTCCACCATGCGCCGAGAGACAATATTCTCGCTGCTCCCACTATCAATGATGACATCACAGATCTTTTGTTTCACGGTGCATCTCGTGCGGAAGATGTTATGTCTCTGCGGTGGCTCTTTTATTTTTAGGGCCAACAATAGACGCCGCACAACACATAAGAGTTGTTCCTCATCATCATCAGGATCCAATCCACCATCGTAGTCTTCAACTTCGCCACGGTCTGTAACTTCATCTTCATGATCCACTATGTTCACAACACCTCTTTTAGGGCACTAATTGGATCGATGATCAGGCTGTCCACATGTATAGCACTTGATTGGGTCAGGCTTGGCATATGGGTTCGGAGGTGTAGTCTTCTTTGCAGTTGTTATCGCTGGACCATTGCCCTTCTCCGTTGTAGTATCTTGATTAGAAACTGTTTGGGACTGTCTACCACGATTAAAGCTCGTGCGCGATCCGTCGGAAGCTGCCCATGGGCCTTTACTATTTCGTCCGAGTTGTCGCTCCACCTTCTCGGCTAGGTTAACCGTGTCTGCTAAGGTATAGGTCTGCTGTAGAGATACATGATCCTGAATCGCCATCTTCAACCCCCCTGTATCGAGATATCTGTTGGGCCTTGCTCTCGTGTAAGTTGTTGCGGGATGATAGTCGATAGAATTCCTGTGTATACTCATCCACGGTTCTTCCACCCTGCTTACAATTCTGATACTGCCTGAATAAAACTTGTTCATAATTGCTTGGCAAGAAACGGGCTCTTAATAGCTTCTTCATCTTTTCCCACCTATCGACCTTCAGTTTTTCTTGACGAGATCGATTCAGACAAACAGATTCCCACCAAGCTGAAGCTCCACCTTTGAGTCGATAAACTACTAATTTTACCTTTCGTTCTTCTGGGATCTCCGTATACTCAAAGAATCTCTCTACTTCTATAATCCAGTCGAGGAACTCTTCAATATGAAGTTGCCCGTTGAAAGATGACAGATCCATCTTCATCTTGAAACTTCAAGCGTCATAATTATCCCTTCGTCGTCGGTCTCTGCGATAAACACCGTGGCGTGGGGGTGCATAGGGATCTTCCTCGCTGTCGGATTCTTCATATGGAGTTAGATCACGTCGTTGGCGACCATCAACGCGATTGTGAACTCCCATCGGGTTCAGACGCTCCACTACCATCGTAAGTTGCTCTATGGCAGCCCTCATCTGATCACCATTGGTCTTCAGTTGATCTACGTCCGACCTCAGCACGTCGAACTCAGTTCGAAAAATAGGGGCTTCATCACCTGCCATCGGATCGGAGGAACAAGTCTCTGATATCAATTGACGCAACGCGGAAGTAGTAGCCTCGGAATCCACCAAGTAAAATCTTCGAATCAACGAAGAGCTTCGAATCCACGAAGAAATATTAAGGAAAAAACGAAATTTTTATTAATCAAAAGTATGCCTCTAGGGCTTACAAGACTCTTCTTAAATAGAAAAAAAAAGAAACAAGACTTCTACAAGGACTCAAACTCTACCAAAAATAGTAAAAGAATTCCTAAAATATTAAAACTCCTAAAAAAGACTCCTTATTACTAGGAAAGTTCACCGGTCAAATCTGAGATCAAATCGGATTTGTTTCCTAAACAAAACAGACTCTTAAAATATTATTAAAAATAGTAAAAAACAGACAAAAGTGTAAATATCTCTCAAACCGGGGTTGGTTTGTATGGCTCCGTCTCGTCGAGATAGTCGATTTTCATATATAATTCATCCAATTCCGATGTATGGTTTGAAAGTTACGACCGTTTCTTCGAAACTAGTTATTTTTTCCGACCAGACCCGTATTTGGGCTTGTGACTGTCCCACTTTGACATAAACGTGTCTGCTGTGTGTTCTACATTAGCATCTTTGGACTTAAAAAAATCCTTATCAAGAAATATTTTTCTTTCTGAAAATTCAAAATGAACAAAGTAAAATTGTTTGAATGATACATCTAAGAACCAATAAAAATGTTCGTTTGGATTGTATTGAATAAAAATTGAGCTATATACTTCAACAATCTTGAAGTTTGTAAGGATTTCTCTTAGAGATTAGCTATCAAATCATACATTTACTTTTGATTTTTCTAGTTTTACAATAATAACTAAAATTGAGACACAGATATATTTCCTTTTCACTTTAGATTTTTGGAGCAGGTGCATTATGCACGTGCATGTTGGCTAGTCAACAATATAAAGAACTTATGAAATTACACTGCCATATGCCTAACCAACAACTTGTGACTTGCCCACAGTAATTGATGCACTAATATATGCCACACAATGAGCTGAAAAGTTACAGAGGACCATACAGAGACATGTAAATTTTATGTCTCGAGCATTTCTAGTTGCATGCATTCAGTTTGTATATTGATTACAACTAAGGTTAAAAAAAATGTTATACCCATTTATCGAAAATAAGGTGTGTATCTACTGTAAAAGTAAAATATTCTTCACATTAGAAGTAGATGCTAAAACTGTCTTATTCTATTGCTTTCAATTTTTTTCAGGTTGGATTCAGATTTTTCTACCTGATGAAACCATTTGGTTCAACTTTTCCTATTGCCAATCTACATATTCCTATTGGGCACGCTTTTCACTTTTGAATTTCCTGAATCAAAAAGAAGATCTGAGGAAATTCCAAAATCGCTTTCCATTGGAATGCTCTTGGGATCACATACGTCTCCACTTCAGTAAAAAGCAACCCTCTCCCTTTCTCTTGAATGCGACCCTGGTTAGTCTCCCTCAAATGGAAATTAGGCCATTGGCCTATCATAAGGAATTATCCAAATTAAGTACTTAATCTATCATATCATTTGGTGCAACATCAATACCAGTGTTTGGATCAACATTATAGTTTACCTAACTACATTTGACTCTTCTTTAACAGGTTAGTACATTTTCAGGGTTTTTTGAAGGCATCGACTACTTCACTTACTCTATTGGACATCTTATTGTTATACCGTTAATCAACAAATTGAGATCATAGAATTTTTGCCGGAAGTTTGACATGAAGCCTTGTAAGATTATTCTGATGTCTGTATTATCTTAATATAATGTTGCAGAAGAAGAATTAATGAGATAGGCATGTGCCCTCACGCATGTGACAACTTTTGATAATTAGGGATGGCCGTTTTCCCCCCACATGTATTGTTGATATTCTACAGCAAATAGGGAGAGTTGAAACTCTGAAATTCGCTGAAAGCAATTCCATTTAAAAGTTCATTTATAATGTGATATTACAGTTCACTTTTTATTTTTTCCAAATTTACGCTGGAGATCTGCTTCATTAACCTACTTGTTATTAGTATTGAGTTCATGAAGGGAAACTTACAACACAGCTCTTGTAGGGGTAGACATGCAAATTGTAACTGATTTCTATTTGCAACATATCATATACTATTTCTCAGCTTTTGCGTTGAATTCAAGCGCTATTGATTGATCCTCTATTTTTATTAGGGCCAGATCCATGTTTGTATGCATCAGAAGATTTTGGAGGCAACGTGATGAAGATCAGACTTCTGAAATACCATGGTGTTTGTTTAGTGACAAACCCAGAGAGTTTTGTTACAGTATAGCGGCTCACTTACATCATCAATTGACAAAGTCTGAGACGACGGTTTGAGAACGGGCATAGATTGCCTAATGGGATTAGGTCAAGACCACATGATGATTTACCCTACAATGCTTTACAACCTACGCAATCTCGCTTAATACCATCATAATTGTCATCATCCTGGACCCGTTTCATGCATCGGATGTCTTGGCCACTGCCAAATGGCGTTCAAACGTGCTGCAATGTCAGTTGACCCTCCCCACTATGCCTCATTCTTACATTGAATACATTAGCCTGTTAGCTAGATAATAAAGAACTTTGCTATCAAAGCAAAGAACCTGGTTGATGACAGTAAAGGCTTTGATATTGACCCTGTGCAGGCTCCACTCTTTGACATGTTGTGATCCCATCCGTTGGATCAACATCAACAATCGTGTCATAGTCCATCTGATCATGATCTGATTGTTGTAAGTGTCGATAAACATGTGCAGCCACGTGGAAGAACTTCAAAAGCGGGCAGGTTGGCACCGTAACTTACGCATACTGATGATCATCCTCCCATATCTAGAACTCCAGACTAGAACTCAGATGAGAAGTTGAAGGGACAGAGAAAGAAGAAATAACAAACTTGGCTTGGAGGGAAGTCAACAGTGTCATGCTGATACAGGGAGCTTTTACCTCAAATTTTTGTATTGGCTAAAACTGCCATAGAAAGATTAACTACTTTCCTTTTGTTTTTAGGCTTAATTGCACTTAACTGCCTCATAGTTTACCTGACCTTGCACTTAAATGACCTCTTTTTTCAAACCGAACAAAAAAATGCCCCAAAGTATTTTAATTTTGCAGATAAATGCCCTCAAAGTTTTAAAAATATTGCACGTTAATGCCCTCTTGTTTACCCAATGTCGCATATAAATGCCCCAAAGTTTGTAAATGGTGTCACTTAAATACCGCAAAGTATCTAAGAGTTTCACTTTAGTACCCTCTGTTGTATGACTTAGAGAAAAAACAACGATGTCTAGGTTTTTTTAGCCATGGGGTATTCACCTGCAATACTTAAATACTTTGGGTCATTTTCTTTGTACGGTTTGAAGCTATAGGGCATTTAAGCGCAAGATCAGGAAAACTATAGGGCGGTTAAGTGCAATTAAGCCTTGATTTTATTGGTCTTTGAGGTGTAGTTTTGTCAATATTGATTTGTTTAAATGATGGAGATTAATATGCCTGCATTATTTACATAATGAGAGTGATGACAACTTTTGTGAGATGATTATATGATTGCTGAGCCTTATTTGTATGACCATGTTGTGGCCCATGAATGGCACTGTTATCAGCTGGTTTCAATTGAGATCTGGTCTGATATCATACCGGTCCAGGCCCACTTATCTGATGCAAACTTTGTGGCTGTTTGCTGATTTAGGCTTGACTGATGATCCTCTTTTGCAACACGAACTTGGCGGCTGCTGGCCTTATGTCCACGTCAGCAGCATGCCAAGTAAGCAGAGGCATTTGGTAAGTAAGCATGAAGCATAATTCCATTCCCTTCCCGTTCCACCCAACTATCTCACCTCCTTTAATACCTCTGGAAGTTGACTTGTGCCTTGATCTATATAAAAGACCTTCCTTGTGTTGAGTTTCATTGACCTCTCCCGATCTCTTGTCCATATTCATCTCATCAGAATGAGCTACTTGAATATGATGGAGGCTAGATTGCCTCCAGGGTTCAGATTTCACCCTAGAGATGAAGAGCTCGTGTGCGATTACTTAACAAAGAAAATCTCAGGAGATAAAAGTGGAAGCTTGTTTGGTTGTCCTACCATGATCGATGTTGATCTCAACAAGTGTGAGCCATGGGATCTTCCAGGTGAGAACACTTAAACAAGCATTAAATTCTTGTCTTCACTACACTGGTTTACTTAGCATGACAAAAACTAGTTCGAAACGGTTACTAATATTTTCATATGACCTTGTGATTTGTTGTTTAACATATTGGAGTATGCCTCGACTCTATGTCTCTGTGCAGTAGCTCTTCTCTGTTGTTGAATTTGTTAGAGACTTACCTTGATTTCATACACGAAATTTTTAAATGATTGTTTCAGTTTAACCTTAGGTAATTGCAAGTTTTAAATTCAATTTGTAAACTTTATTGTGACTAAACTGATTATTTTTCAAGTTCATTTGACGATATAGTTTGTGTTCAAGGGAAACTAATAATCTTTTCGCCTAGTTGATGCTTAATATGATACAAAGTGTCATTCATCCTGGTAGCAGGTTGTTTTCTCTAAACCTATTATACATTGAGACGTGCGAAATAAATATGAAAAATTAAAAATCTTTTATAGAACCAACGTATGTTCCATTATCTTTTCTTGTGGAAAATTTGTTGTTCTTTCTTATTCAGATTCCCAATAAAATCTTTATATTTTCTCCTATTCTTGTCATGTTTACTCATCTCCTTCCTAATTAAATAATTTTATTTTTAAAACTCAGAAATAGATAAGTGTTTAAGTTATAATTATTGGCCCATATTTCGTGCCGTATGTAAGTTCAAAATAAGTCCCTTTCGTTGGACTTATCATCCCCCATAACAGAAAGATATTCCCTTTCTCAGGGTTTGTCTACATCCTAACTTCTTCATGTCTTTATTCTTTCTATTATTTTATCACTTGCCAACTGTTTGCATCCTAATCCTCAGGGAAGACCATCTAAGTTTGTGACAGTGGAAAGCTAAAAAACCTTTTGTCTGCTTTTGGATACTATAGGAAGACGAAGGTAATAAAATACAGAAAGTAAATTATTGCTTATTTTGCTTTTTTTTAAAAAAAAAAAAAAAAAAAAAAAAATCGAAGTGCCTCATTATATAAGTGTGTGGTTGAGGGGCAACCGATGTTAAGCTATTAGCCCATGAAACCTTTTGCTTAGCACAGTGGCTTTTCCTCGTGAACTTTCCAAAAACACTTCCATAGGACAACAAAACTAAACCCATGTACCTAAAAGAATGATCAAGAATTTATGTTGTTAGCCTATGAAACCCTTTTGCCCACAAATGAAAGTGAAAGCTCAAGTTAATTACAAGGGAATGAAAGCAGATAATTCTTGTTGTTATACTATTCTGTACTAAAAGGCTTTCATTTAAATTATAATGTTACAAATAGCTCTTTTCTCTTCTTTCCAACCATTTGCATACATATGGATGCTCAAAATAGAGAAATAAATCAAACTTGGAGGGGAAAAAAGTGTGTTCCAATTATATCGCATAAATTTTATTTAACTCTTTGAATAACTAAACAAAACTTATTAGAGTATCATGTCATATGATCACTATATTTAATTATTATTAAGTTGATGTCAACTGGTTTACATTTGAACTTGTAGAGATAGCTTGTGTGGGCGGCAAGGAGTGGTACTTCTACAGCCTTCGTGATCGAAAGTATGCAACGGGCCAAAGAACCAACAGGGCGACAGTATCAGGATACTGGAAGGCCACAGGCAAAGACAGACATGTAACTCGAAGGGGAGTGCTCGTGGGGATGAGGAAGACATTGGTGTTCTATCGAGGTAGAGCCCCTAAGGGGAGGAAGACTGACTGGGTCATGCATGAATTTCGAATGGAAGTATCTGATGACAAGTCAAAGTTTTCAGTTAAGGTAATAATCTCTTGCAACATATAGTTTTTCTTGTATGTATGCCCCTAAATATCATGCATACTTGCAAAACTACCCCCAATTCGCAGTGTTGTCTCTTAGTGTCAATTGCTAAGTAGACTTTTCATGATTTATTTGATGTTGATGAGCTTATTGTTGTAGTTGAATGTTGGGGGTCTGTAAATAGGCTAATGAGTAATTTTTGTTTTTTGTTTTTTTTGGGCTTTTTTTTTTTTTTTTTTTTGGGGGAGTAGTTAATGACTTATGAAGGTTACATAACTAGATGGGGACAGGTAATTAGATAGGTTCAAAGATCATAAAACAATGTAAATGGAGAATGTTTAGCTCATGATTTTGGGAATAAAATCAACAACAAACAATTAGCTAGTGGGTAGGAAGACAACTGGATAAATAAATAGGTAGCAGCTCACTAAAAATTAAAAAGGTACAACAACTAATAAGGTTGAACTTGGATTCCTTATTAAAAATAAGAACTATTTCCATCAAGGATTTGACTGAAACATATACTATTGATTAAGAGAGTTGACAAGCAGGCTACTTGAATGAATCATTCTACATGCTGATGATGCATAAGGAAGGTAAACATATTTGCATTTCTCCTACACCATATTTCAGTCACAACTTCATTTAGCACGTGACATAGCTGTCTTCCTAATTTTCTTACCATTTTGAATGGTTAATTGCGTATAGACCCCTTGTACTTCCGCACAATTTCGGATAGACCCTCTATAGTTCTATTCAGATAGACCCTACGGGTGAACTTTTTGTACTCTTTTGCCCTCAGAAAGTGAGATATTGTTATTTAACAAGTATACATCCTTAGGGTAAAAGAGTCAACGAACTTTCACTCCGGGGGTCTATTTGCAACAATAGAAGTGTAGAACTACAAGGGGTCTATCTGCAATTGGTCTATATCAGGGGGTATACCCTCCTGGAAAAATTTGCATGAACTGAAACAGAACAACTGCACTCACTACATGATTACTGATTCAAATTTTGATTTGAAACAGGAGGATTGGGTGTTATGTAGAGTATTCTACAAGAGTAGAGGCCTCGCCGCCA